ACTCACTAAGGGTCAAATATAATAAATAAAATCAATATGATTTATAGAATTTATAATAATTTTCCTTAACCAGCAGAAATAATTAATTTCCTTCAAATACGACAATTTCCCATTTATTTAACTTCACAAGCTGCAATTAAAATATTAAGGTATCGTGTAATTATTATTATTAGGCACGATTTCTGGCAAGGTCGTACGGCCCGATCCAGAGTGTCGTGTGCACTGCCGAGGGACGTGCGGCGCGATCCATAGATGCATCTATACTGCCGAGGCGTTCGGCCCGCTCCACAAGAAAAGATGACATTTTCTTATGTACCTCCGGAATGAGGATATATATATTATGAGATTAATGCAAGATGGTGTGCAATTTTTTTTATTAATTAATTAATTTATACAAAAATTCAAGTATATGAGATTTCAATCTTTTACTATTTTTCCTAACAATTCACAGTATAGTTTAAATACTTTAATTAAATAAAGGATACAGTTAACACATGTAATTCATGATTTGAGTCCTAAACTACCCGAAATTTAGCATAAATAGTAGCTACGCACGGACTCTCGTCACTTTGTGTGTACGTATCCCCCACAATTAGCAACAATTATTAATTTAAATCACCTATGGGGTAATTTTCCCCTTACAAGGTTAGGCAAGAGACTTACCTCGACTTCTCCAATTTAATCCACTAGTAGGCCTTTTCCTCGATTATCCAACTCTAAATGGCTCAAATCTAGCCAAAATAATTCGATACAGCCACAAAAAATTATAGGAATCAATTTCATAAGAAAATACTACATTTTTCAATAAAAATCCGAAATTAACTCAAAAATCATCCGTGGGGGCCACATCTCGGAATCCGGCAAAAATTACGAAATATGAACGCCCATTCAATCACGAGTCTACCCATACCAAAATTACTAAATTCTGATAACAATTCGGCCCTCAAATCCTCAAATTTATCCAAGAGGATTTTCAAACTTTTCCAACTTAATTCACCAATCAAATGATAAAAACAGTGATGGATTCGGATAATTTAACCAATATAGAGTTAAGAACACTTACCCCGTTGTTTTCTCTGAAAATCTCCCAAAAATCGCCTCAATCCGAGCTCCAAATCGGTAAAAATCCCATTTTAAGAAATTAAACTCTCTGCCCAGACGCGAAAAATCTCACGCGATCGCGAAGCACTGACTCCGCAAACCTACGCGATCGTGAACCTTCTCACGCGATCGCGAAGCATTAAGCGCGTGGCCCAGCTCCTCCCTCCGTTCCTCTTCGCGAACGCGACCTTAGCCACGCGTTCGCATAGCACACCTCGCCCAACCTACGCGATCACGAACTTTCCCACGCGATCGCATAGAACAAATTTCCAGCTGCCCAATTAAGCCTACGCGATCGCGAATCTTCTCACGCGATCGCGTAGAAGGAAACCAGACTCCAAATTTCAGCAAACTCCAAATTCAAAAATTGATCCGTTAGCCGTCCGAAACTCACCCGAGTCCCTCGGGACCTCAACCAAATACACCAACAAGTCCTAAAATATTATACAAACTTAGTCGAAATCTCAAATCACATCAAACAACACTAAAACCACGAATCATACTCTAATTCAAGCTTAATGAAACTTAAAATTTCCAACTTCTACATTCGATGCCAAAACCTATCAAATAAAGTTCGATTGACCTCAAATTTTGCATACAAGTCATAAATGATATAACGGAGCTATGAAAATTTTCAGAACTGGGTTCCGACTCCGATATCAAAAAGTCAACTCCCCGGTCAAACTTCCAAACTTAAATTCCTATTTTAGCCATTTCAAGCCTAATTTAACTACGGACTTCCAAATAAAATTCTGAACACACTCCCAAGTCCAAAATCACCATACGAAGCTGTTGGAATCATCACAATTCTATTCCGGGGTCGTTTTCTAAAAATATTGACCGAAGTCAAACTTAGCATTTTAAGGCCAACTTAAGGAACAAACTATTCCGATTTCAACCCGAACACTTTCAAATCCCTAACCAACCATCCCCGGAAGTTATAAATTAATAAAAGCACATATATAGAGTTTTATTTAGGGGAACAAGGTTCTAAAATTCAAAATGACCGGTTGGGTCATTACTGCATATACTGACTAAGAACCTGAACTACAAATGCAATACCAGGTCTTGTCATAGTGAGATACAACAATCTTCCAATGAGCCTTTGATAAACATCAGGATTGTTAAGAAATTCATCTACCTGAGTGTTGTCATTCTTGAAGCAGTTATCATACTCCACTGAAGTTAACTTCTGATTCAGCTCTAGTGGTGTTCTAGCTGGTTTTGCACCACTCAAACCTGACTCAGAAATTAACTCTAGGGCATAGTTTCTTTGACACATAAGGATTCCTCTCTTGGACCTTGCAAACTCAATCCCTAAGAAGAACTTAAGTTCTCCTAGATCCTTCATTTTGAACCTCTTCTTGAGGTCTGATCTAGTACTACATAATAGTTGTTGATTGTTCCCAGTGATCAGAAGATCATAAACATATACCAATATGACAACTATATCATCCCCAGCCTTCTTTGTAAACAAAAAGTAATCATAGTGACTTTGTTGAAAGCCCATGTTGAGTAGAGCTTTTGTCAGCTTCATATTCGACTGTCTAGGTGCCTTCTTAAGCCCATAAAGGGACTTATGTAGTTTGCAGACCTTCCTATGAGTCTCCCCCTGTCTAGCAAACCTCTCAAGCAATTGCATATAGACTTTTTCAGTGAGATCTCCATTGAGAAAGGCATTGTGGACATCCATTTGAAAAATCAACCACTGTCTTGAGGCTGCTAAGGCAATAACAGGCCTAACTGCCACTATCTTGGCCACATGGGAGAAAGTTTCTCCATAATCCAAGCCTTCCTTCTTGCTGTAACCTTTAGCCACTAGCCTGGCTTTAAACCTCTCTACTTCACCAGATGCTTTGTACTTAATTATGTAAACCCACATGCAACTAATAGGAGTCTTCCCAGGTGGCAAATCTACAATACTCCAAGTGTCATTATCCTCTAAGGCTGTAATTTCCATCTTCATTGCTGCTATCCGCTTAGGATCAGCTGCATCTTCTTTGAAGGAAGTTGGTTCTGAAAGAGCTGAATAGGCTGCAAGAGCTTGTTTATAGGATGGAGTGACATGAGAGTAGTCCACATAGGAAGAGATAGGATAAGTGCATTTATTTCCTTTAGAAGTAGTGACATAGTCTTGCAGCCACAGAGGTGGCTTTCTTGGTCTAGATGATCTTCTGTGTTCTGCAGGAAGCTCATCAGCTTGTTGAGGAAACACATATGTATTATGACTGACATCAAGCAATTGACCAACATCAGAAATAGTTGTAGAAGCAGCTTCTTCTGAGTTTGTTGTAGAGTGAGGGGCTCCATGAGAAGAGTTTGCAGGAAACTGATTTGAACTAGTGTCAATGGACACTTCTGTTGCTTGTGATGCATGGGAAAGAGAAGTGATGTTGCTCAGAGTAGGAGATAACAAATCTAGGATAGGGAATACAGGACTTCCAGTAGATGTTGCATGCTTGAAGGGAAAAATATTCCCTTGAAACACAACATTCATGTTGACTATGAATGTTCTTGAATGTAAAGTGTACAACAAATACCCCTTTTGAGTGGAGGACAGGTATTGCTCTGGGTGAGAACTTATCCAGCACTTAAGGACTGGTGGCATAACATAAACAGCCAAAAACTCTGAGATGAGACAATGAAGGAGGGTGAAAATACAGTATCTCAAATGGTGATTTGTATCCAACAACTTTAGAAGGCAGTCAATTAAGTAAGTATACTGCTGTAGCAACACATTCTTCCCAAAATCTTAAAGGTATATCAGCCTGAAAGCTGAGTGATCTAGCTATTTCCAAGATGGTCCTGTGTTTCCTTTCTGCCACCCCATTCTATTGGGGTGTATAAACACATGTGCTTTGATGTAAAATACCAAGAATAGATAGCAGACTCTTAAACTCAGTACTGAAAAATTCACTTCCATTATCAGTTCTTAGAACTTTTACAACAGTAGAGAAGACATTTTTTGCTTGATTAAGAAAATCTCTTAGAACTACAATAACATCTGACTTAGAGTGTAGTAAGAATATTCAAGTATACCTTGTATAGTCATCAACTATGGTGACAAAATATCTCTTACCATAATGTGTGGGCACTCTATAAGGTCCCCATATATCACAGTGAACTAGTTCAAACACTGATTTTGTAGTGGTACTGCTTAGTTGGAATGGCAATTTGGTTTATTTGGCTACATGACAGACAGTGCAATGATGAGAATCAGTTGTTGTGAGTTTGCTTAGTGTTTTTACTCTTTTTATTATATCTAAATGAGCATTTCCTAAACTTCTATGCCACAAAGTGCTAGAAACAGAAGTACATGAAGAGTCTGACATAGTATTTACTGTGTTAACACACTTATTTGTTGCCTGATATAGATCTTGTTTTGAGGTGCCTCCTTGCAGAATGTACAACCCATGTTCTTCTCTACCAATCCCCTTCACCTGACCACTGAAGAGGTCCTGAAAAATACAGAAGTCAGGGAAGAATCCAACCATACACTTTAGCTCCTTAGTGAGTTTTGAGACTGACAATAAGTTGAACTTAAAGTCAGGAATGTACAGAAGATTAGAGATCTCCTGGTTACTTAATACAGAAGTGCAACCTGTGTGTGACACTGACACAACATTTCCAGCAGGCAAATATACTTTGTTTGCCTCTGTATTTGGAAGTGGTCTGTGAGTATGTAGCATCTCTAAACTTGAAGTCATGTGGTTTGAAGCCCCGGTGTCAACTATCCACTTTCTATTGACACATTGAGACATAAAAACATTCACATGATTTAGAATACCTGCTGCAACAACTTTGTTGAATGTGTTTGATCCTTCTGAACTCCCTTTAGAAAGTAGATGAACAATTTGTTGATATTGCTCAGGAGTGAAAACAAGAACTGGATGTGGCATCTACTGGAAAAGAGCAGGTTGACTCATTTGTTGTGTTGTACCTGAGTTAGATGATCCACTTTCTCTAGATTGTTGATTGACAGTAGGTGTCACATTGGTAGCCATATTATATCTCTCTGCACATGTAATTTCTACATTGCCTGCATAATAGGCATATTGTCCAAGACTAACACCTTTTCTTTTGGCCTTGAAGTCAGAAGGATATCCAATCAATTTGTAACAATTTTTTTTTTTGTATGTCCCTTATAGTGACAATATTCACACTGAACTTGGCTATTTTTGGATTTATAATTTCCAGCATTATTCACGTTCTTACTGCTATACAGGGCTGTACTCTTCAAAGCCTCAGTAACCCGAGCAACTTGTGTTGTGCTTGTGAGGTTTCTTTGACTTTCCTGATCTACTAACAAAGAATAAACTTTGTTTATACTAGGGAGAGGGGGCATCATCATGATCTGACTCTTTGATTGAGAGTAGGACTCATTCAACCCAGCGAGAAATTGAAGAAGTCTTTGATACTCAAAGTGTTGAGCATACTGTTTAGATTCAGGACAAGGACAACCAGGACAAAGCATGAGGGCATCAAACTCATCCCACAACTCTCTAAGCCTTGAGAAGTAGTCAATTACAGTCATAGTCCCTTGGGTCAGTGTGTGAACTTCTATGTGCAAATACAGTATTCTCGAACCATTTACTTTATCAAACCTCTCTTTCAAATCCTCCCAAACTTTATGAGCACTAGATGCATAAAAGATACTACTCAACAACCCTGGTCTCACAACATTCATTATCCATGAGAGAACTATAGCATTAACTTTCTCCCATAGATCATGAAGTTCAAGCTTAAATTTAGACTTAGGAAATCTACCATCGACAAAACCTAGTTTACTTTTACCTAGAAAGCCAATTTTCATTGCACGACTCCACAAGGCATAATTGTCTGATCCAGTAAGTTGAAGAGAAATCAAAGAACTACCTGGTGTATCTGTTGGTTGTAGGTACAAAGGATGGTTGTGATCGATGGTGGGAAATGTAGTAATTCCAGCCGTGAAATTACCAGTAGTTGAGGTTGTGGTAGTGTATTCATCTCCAATTGCCATTGTTGACTAATAAATAGCTTCAGAGTAAGTAGCTAACAAACCCTAACTTCAATCGAAGGTTATTCTAGCTCAATTCAGCACTCCATTGCAGAATTGAAGTAACAGAGAAGACGAGATTTGCTCGCAAATTAGCTTAGATTTCAACTGGTGGCTCTGAAGCCATGTTAGCTGCGATGTATATGGAAATCAAAGCTAAGAAGAAGAATCTGGAAGAAGAGGAAATTAGAGAAGAGCTACATGCATTTCTGAAAAAATAAACAACTGTACATAGTTGACTAATACTTATAACAACCTAACCGACTTACTTAACTATCAACTAACTAACTCTCTAACTCTAGTTTAATATTATATTAAAATTAACCATAGTTAGCTACTAGCTTATTGCTCAGCTGCTGATTAACAATCACCCACTTTGAGACCATCAAAATCCATCACATGTTGATGTGCACAAATAGCCGTTTTTAGACCCCAATTTAAAGAATAGCCGACATTTTTAGACAATACAAGTGTAGTTTTAGATATTAAAATGTCAAAACGAATTCAGCTTGGGAGGATACTTTCAAAATGCAAGATCTATTCACTGACTTCTTTAGTAAGTAGGAACTTGAAATTTATGGAAATAATAAGAGTAGTTCAAAGTCATGAAATATTTTTAATTTGTAGATTACACATAAGTGAGTTGTATAAAATGCACCACTTGCTCATCTATAAGTAAGCACAAGCAATACTAATGTAGGACAGGGGCATTTCTTAGAACAGCCAAGGCATAATATTAGGTTTTGAAGCCCGTGCACCCAAAATCAAGAGTTCTTGGCTAGTAGGCTTGCCAAAAAAGAGTCTAACAGTGAATAATTTTTTAAATGCCGTCAAGATAAGATACCTATAACAGCTAACTGTTAATAGTAACTCCAACTTAAGAAATAATGTACATAACATGTTTTAATCGTTTAAATTAACGAATAGTATAAATTTATTTATTCTCAATGTATATCTATCTGTATATGAGTTAAATCTGCTTAGAAATAATAGGAGAGTTGCTAATACTATTTCTGAAAAGCTAGCTTGCATTCCTAACTACCAATCACATCACTAATGCTATATTCCTGACTCATCCTTTCGCCAAATTATGGTAACTAACCAAAATCAGTCTTAAATAACAAGCCAGAATAACATGGAAAACGGTTCTGATGTTTCAATCTCAACTACTTTACCAGTAATGTCTATTATTTAAGGGAAAATAGTTTTTTTTTTTCCTTAGAAAAGAGCTCTTATATAGGAAGCTCCAAGAATTACTCTTTATTTTCTTCTTAACGTTCTTTTCTCCTGAAATATAATTTATAAGATTACTGAAGTTCAAGAAAATTCTCATCCATTTTTTTAATGAACATAAAAATTAGGCACTGACGGCAATGTTTAAAATGAAGAAAAGAAAGGACAATCAATGTTTTAGTATGCTTCAAAAACACTCAATTATGAAAAGGAATATGCATGTCACCAAATTCACTGTTAGAGCTAACATTTTCAATTTCCAACTCCAACAATCATTCTACAAATCTGTCCCTATATATATCCTTGTTAATTTTCTTAATCTTCAGCACAAGTCATCTGATTGTTACCACTTTGGAATTATATTCTTTACAGGATTCAGCTAGCTAGAAGCCATGTCATTCTCCTCTAGATTCTTGTTTAGCTCATTACTAGTTTTGTCCTTAATTTACTCTCATGGAAATGCACTTAGTTCAAATTACTATGAGAACTCATGCCCTCTTGTTGAAGATATTGTCACACAGGTTGTTACTGAAGCATCAAAGAAAGACAAAACTGTCCCTGCTGCCCTTCTTAGGATGCACTTCCACGACTGTTTCATAAGGGTATTTTCTTTTTGCATTTTCATTTTCACCTTTTTTGAGAAGAGGCCTGATAATATTTTTTACTAGTCGTTCTGATTTTTTTTTTTTTTTTAAAATATATATTTCCCACAGGGGTGCGATGCTTCGGTGCTACTGAACTCGAAGGGAAAGAACACTGCAGAAAAAGATGGTCCTCCAAATGTTTCTTTGCATGCATTCTATGTCATTGATAATGCAAAGAAAGCTGTTGAAGCCGTTTGCCCAGAAACAGTCTCCTGTGCTGATATCTTAGCTTTTGCTGCCAGAGATGCAGTTGTCATTGTAAGTAAACATTGCTCAAGCAAAACATAAAAACAAAGTCTGATTATCTCATCAAAAGTTTAAGTCATTAGAGATAGTACATTGTATTTAGTTGCCTGACTATATTTTTTTTTCTTGGGTCAAGCACATGAAATTCTTTTTAATAATAAGTGTTAGTAAGGCCATGAACCACACATTTTTTTGTTTAATTATATCTATTGTTCATTTTGGAATTCTTTTTCTACATTATTTTCCACCACTAATTACGTTGTAATGTTATTATGTGCAGTCTGGTGGACCTTTCTGGGACGTGCCTAAAGGAAGAAAAGATGGAAGAACATCAAAAGCTAGTGAAACTAGACAATTGCCAGCTCCCACTTTTAACATATCTCAACTTCAACAAAGCTTCTCTCAAAGAGGATTATCACTGGAAGACCTTGTTGCTCTCTCAGGTCATTTTACACAAGATTACATAATAAATATAACTTATATACACTTCACTATCGATCAATGTATTTTAACTTGTCGCAGCAGAATATATCTGTCTTATATTTTAGCTAATAATTGACAAACAATGTGTTTCCAAATCTTCAGGTGGACATACTTTAGGTTTCTCTCATTGTTCATCCTTCAGTAACAGGATACACAACTTCGATGCCACCAACGATGTTGACCCAACATTACATCCATCCTTGGCATCAACCTTAAAGGGAATTTGTCCACTTAAAAACAGGGCTAAGAATGCTGGAACTGCCATGGATACTTCCTCAACAACGTTTGATAATTCATATTACAAGTTAATTCTACAGAACAAGAGCCTTTTCTCTTCAGACCAAGCTTTGCTCAGTATTCCCAAAACTAAAACTCTGGTTTCTGACTTTGCTAGCTCAAAAGAAGCTTTCTTTAAAGCTTTTGCTAATTCCATGATCAAAATGAGTAGCATAAATGGAGGTCAGGAGGTCAGAAAGGATTGTAAGGTAGTTAATTAATCCTACCAAATTAATGATATATAATCCAGAAAAGTGGGTGGTCTCAGTTTGTTTCCTTATAATTTTCTGATTTCTTTTCGCAGCTTATCCAGAGCACTTTTTAAGTGGTATAGGATTTTAATGGGCAGAGCTTTTATCAATCTCATTATCAATGTATCGATGTGTATTTTGTAACTTAATTACTATGAATGAATCATCCTGCCCTTTACAATTGTTGGTCATGTAATTCACACGAATTAATTGTTTCCAGCCAGGAAAATACGCGTCTTAAAAATATTTCAAGTGTAAGGAACATTATTCGTCTTAAGATAAAGAGAAATAGGATAAGCGTAAAATTAATAATTTGTGTAATTGGTAACTTTTAGTAATTCATTATTTTTGACAAATGATTGTTACCAAGTTGAATATTATTTTTATTTTGTTAGCTCAGTCATGCCACTTAGTAAAATCACAAATTCAATAACTATTGGGTATTTGGGTTGTCGAAATATTGGTTACGTGATAGCATAAAATTTATTTTCCATGCATAGTTCATTGTAATTCTCTTCGGTCTTTGTCTTTTCGAGTATGATTTCACGGTTTTTTAGAGGTTGTAAATTTCATGAGACAACTAAACTACTCTATGTGATTTTAGATTCATATAATCTCTTTTTTACACAATTTATTTTTTGGTCACCACTCTATTTTACACTCACTCATCATAGTAGTGTACCGGATCCGGCTCACCTCTTGTACACCATCCATTAAGTTCTTCCTGTGTAACTTTAATTTTATGATACCTGTCCCTTCTTAGATCAAATGGTCAACATTTATTTAACTAAAACAGCCTCTCAAACCATGGTTAATTAACACCCCCTAATTATCTGACTTATCCTTTCCTGATAGGCAGCATCAATTTAGGCGATGATCTTTCATATCACGCGCACATATTAGAAGTTCGACACAACTGAAACTTTTTTATTAACTAATTCATGAAATAATATGTACGAAATAAAGATCACATCTCAATTAGCCCTTCATTTTTTTCATGCTTATTACCTCCCGTGACATTGAAAAGTGATCTGCACTTATATACCATTTTCATAATTCCAATCTGTCAAAGTGGTTATAAAATTCATTAGTGTTACTTTCACCCTCCGATATCATATAAAGCTTGATCTTTAATGGTAGCAGAAAACTTGTGTATACAAAATTGAAGCAAACATAAAATCGAACTACAATGAATTTTGAGCTACTCTTACTTTTTTATAATACTTTTGTTTGTAACGATTAAGAAAAGAGGAGCTCCGTTTCTCCATGATTTTTATGGTAAGAAAATATATTTTTCCCAACTAGAACGATTTTTCTAGCACTATTTTCGGATGCTTTGCCGAATTGGTACTGATTCAGGGAATGACTTTTTAGTTAACCATGGTTTGAGGGGCTGTTTAGTTAAATAAATATTGGCCGTTAGATTTCAGAAGAGACATGAGTCATAAAATTAAAGCTATACCGGAAAAACTTGACGGATGATGTACAAGAGGTGAGCGGAATCTGTAGTGTACCTATGGCACACTATAGACACGTTGTCTTGCAAAATCAGAATAACTCAAAGTAAAATAGTAGAGTATTCGCATACTTCACAGCTCAATCTAGGCAGAGGGTTGTAACGACCCGACTGGTCGTTTTGAGCATTTGTACTCCGTTAAGCTATTTGAAGTTCCGAGTAGTTTCGTATGATGTATTATGACCTGTGTGAAGCGTCGTTTTGATTTTTCAGTTGATTCGGAATTTATTTGGAAGAATGATTCTCAACTAGGAAGCTTTAAGTTGGAAGAGTTGACCAAGTTTGACTTTTGAGTATTTGACCCAGAAATGGATTTTTGATTGTTTCGTTAGCTTCATATGGTGATTTTAGACTCGGGCGTATGCCCGGATTTTAAATTGGAGGTCCCAAAGTGATTTGGCATAATTTTCCAAAAAATTGTTAACTTTGAAAAGCTTTGAATTCCAAAATTTGGCCATAATTAGATTTTTGTTGATACCGAGTCCCGATTTGGATTTTGAGAGTTCGAACAGCTTAGTAATAATATTTATGACTTGTGTACAAAATTCGAAGTTATTCCGAGGTGTGTAGGCACGTTTTCCGTTAGTTTTTGAAAAATTAAAAGTTTTGGTTTTATAAAGCTTGAATTCATTGTGATTCGTAGTTTTGATATTATTTTTGTGTTTTGATCGCTCGAGCAAGTTCGTATTATATTTTAGGACTTATTAGTATATTTGGTTGGGATTATGTGGGGCTCGGGTGAGTTTCGGATGATTTTTTAACATGTTTGGTGTTTTGGCATTATTTTGAGCATAAACATATAATGATCCAAAGGTCCATTTTTAGTTCTAGAGATCAGAATTCGATTTTGAGACTTTCGGGAGTTTGATAATGATTTATAGGATTGATCTGGAATATTTGGTCTAATTTTATTAAGTCACAATTGGGTTTTTACTGAGAAGCATGAGTTAATTATTTAACGAGCAAAGTTGGTATTGTATTGAGAAAATGAGCTTCTAATTGAGTTTCGACTAAACGATAAGGTTTGTATTATTATTTGTGACTCATAGGAGAAAGAATCGTCGAATTCCGAGTTCGTATGAGGGAGTTAGAGTCTTTTTAGCGAAAAACAAATTGATGGTGCAAGCAAGTTCTCGTGCGCATATTTAGCGATCAGAGTTGGTACCTTTAGCGACCAGATTTGGACTTTTAGCAACCACATTAGTGTTTTCATTAGGTAGTTTTTTTATAAGCTCATTTCAACATTTTTGGAGCTAGGAAACTCGGATTTGGGCGATTTTTGAGAGGATTTCCACTATATGGATTGAGTTTTGAGCCGTTCGGAGGCTGGTACACGCGGGATGGTATTTTTGGAGCATCGTTTGGCTTGCTCGGCATTAGATTTGACTTGTTCGAGGTAAGCAACACTTCTAAACTTGGTGGTGAGGGTATGGATCCCGAATATACGTGTTATGTGTTTGATGTTGAAGTGACGCACATACTAGGTGACAGGCGTGCACCGTGTGTATTTATGACTCGATTGATTATGTGGTACTGTGTAGTGACCTAATCTTGTTTCTATTCATGAAATTTCTACGTGCTAGAGTAATTGAGCTGTGATCCATGTTAGAAACCATGTCTAGGCTATATGTTTATCCTGTTGAGACCCACTAAGGTCATTTCTACTATTGAGTTATTTGCTTATATTGCAATTACATACTCAGTCATACTCATTCATTTGCATATCGTACCTCAGTCTCTATTTCTATTTATTGATACATCATATCATTATTTTTTGGCTGATTTTCATGATAATGTGAGCCCGAGAGACTGGAGAGATTGATGAATGAGTTGAGGCCTGAGAGCCGGATTATGAGTGATATTGATGGGATCAGGCTGCACATCGCAACATGTATTATTGATTCATGATGGGATCGAGCGGTATGCCGCAGCAGGTATTGTTGATTCATGATGGGATCAGGCTGCACGCCGCAACATGTATTATTGATTCATGATGGGATCGGGTTGTACGCCGCAACAGACTTTATTGATTCATGTCATGATTGGCTTATTATAGCGCTTGGGCTGGATCTACCCCTCCAGAGTCTGCACACCCATAGTGAGAGCAATTGCTATTGATTCATTTGGGCTGGATATGCCATGTACAATGCTGAGTAGCTGAGAGTGTTGAGGGCTGGATCTGCCCTGGGCCGGATCTGCCCTATTCAGTGCTAAGTGACTGAGTGGCGTTGAGTGATTGAGCGTGATGAGTGAAAAGTGTGAGACAGTGAGATTGGGTACTCTGAGAGTATGAGTACATGAGTTCATCATTGTGATGCATTGCATTTGACATGCATACTTGACATACAGGCATAGGGATGCATTTCCTCATGCTACGCGATTTTTGGTGACATTCAATTATTTTACGTGCACACTGATATGTAGGCATATAGATAATGAAATATCTTATTTATTGTTGAAAGGTTTTGAGAAAACTCACAGTTTTTTTTGACTCACTCATATTTTGGTGATTTCGGTGAAGGATTTGGATTTTACTGTTATACCTGAAAATCATGACTATTTTTCTATAACTGTTAATGAGCTGAGCTTCATATCTCTGAGTTATTTATTTTATTACTTTTATTATATTGTTATGAATTGTTACTGGCTATTGGTATTGGACTCCGACCTTTGTCCCAACTCGTCACTGCTTTCAACCTAAGGTTAGGTTTGTTACTTATTGAGTACATGGGGTCGGTTGTACTCATACTATACTTCTACACCTTGCATGTAGATTTTTGATGCTGATGTTGCTGTATATGGCGGGAGCTGGCATTGAAGACGTACTTGCGTTCCGGTCATTGCTGCCTTTTGTTCTTGGTGGCTTTAGAATTATTAATCTGTCCATGTATATTTCAAACAGATGATATATTTATTTCATACCAGCTTTGTAAACTCTAAATCTTAGAAGCTCATGATTTGTACTACCAGCCCTTGGGAATTCTTTGTATAAAAGCACAGTTGTATTATCATTACTTCTCTTAATGAATCTCATTGGAATTGATTTATTATTAATTGGCTTACCTAGCGTGTTGGGGTTAGGTGCCATCATGACTAGTTAGATTTTCGATCGTGACAAGTTGATATCAGAGCTCTAGGTTCATAGGTTCTACGATTCATGAGCAAGTGTCTAGTAGAGTCTTGCGGATCGGTATGATGACGTCCGTACCTATCTTCGAGAGGCTACAGGACATTTGGGATAAACTTTCCATCTTTCTTTCCTTATCGTGCAATATTGATTCAGCTTGAAGCGTATCTTTTTGAATTCCTTCCACTCACTCGTATGCGTATACGAGCGCTCGGTATCAGGTGTGCCTCGACGACTTGTGATTCCATGGATGAGGTGCGAGATATATTTTTCGTGTGCTGATGATGGGCCAGTCTGGAGGACCCGAGGCCAGGTTTTGACTGTAGCTTGAGCACAATGATTTCGGTTATGTGAGCATGTGCTTTTGGACTTATATATCTGGTAGTGTTCCTATGGGTAGAAATTGTGGCTCGATGAGTGGTTGGATGGCTATATGATGAGTAGGATGTGAATACAGGGTGTGTTTAGATGGTTTGAATGTGACAGAAAGAGTTTGCTTGAGACGTGAGAAGGACTATTGGATGCTCGATTTCTGTGGATG